TTATTATTATTGTCACCATTATTATTCCTAATTAATATATTTATATTTAGATTTTGGAGAATAAACTTAGAACAACTACTCGATTAGAAAAAGATACATTGACTAAATGTCATGAATTAGAAAAAGAAAATTCTAAACTTCGAGTAAATAAATAAATAAATAAATATTACCATTTTGAAAGAGTATTAATTTAATTTTAACAAACTAACTTAATTTGGGGCTGTGCTGTATGGCGTATGTGGGAATAAAAGACGGATTCGCACACAGAAATTCGAAAACTTCAGAATGAAATTAATATGCTTACACAAAATCAATTGAGTACAAAGAACGAAAGTCGTACAAAAGAGAGTGATTTGGTTAATCAAGTTCGTATCTTGGAAGCAGAAAAAACGGATTTACAATCGCAAATTGGATATCTTGATGATCAGGTTTTTATTTAAAAAATAATTTATATTTTTTTCATCGTCTCCTTACAAAGTAAAGGATTGTATTAAATAAAGATTTTTTTTCCAGGATCTTTTGTTTTTTCAAATAATCAGTCTTTTGATTTATCGTTGTTGTGCCCTCAATAAATAATAATTTATTATCTAATTGCAGACGAAAGAAGAGGACTATCATTATTATGATATTTGTATAATAATATAATTCCTAATATTACCACATCATTACTACATAATTCATGTAAAGATACATAATGGGATTAACTCAAATCAACTATACATACATATATATATATATTTTAATCTGATATATTTGATATATTATTATTATTCATTGTCATAGAAATATTGTATTTTATTATTATTATAATAGCTGGAAATCTTGTCATCGATTAATTATATTTTAGAGTGGGGTTCCTCAATTGAAGATATCAGGTCCAACTTTTTCATCTCATATATATAGAATAAAAATGTCTGAAGAGTATGTATATTTATTTATCTCTATGGGACCGAAAGATAGTTTACAGAGAAACTTGTTGACTGTATCAGCAGCATCAATTACCAATTATCGGTTATCAGAGCAAAAAAAAAAATATTGGTTTTTTTATTTTATAAGCAAATTTATCTTTTTTCAGATAATAAATATAATTTTTCACAGATATTAACATATAATAATTTTCATAAAAAATATAAAAGGATCAATTTTTTTGTGGATTTTACAAAATTTTTTGTTTTTTTTTTTTTTTTTAAAAAAAAAAAGATTTTCCAAGAATTAATGTTTTCCAAGGATTAGGCTTTAACACTTTGTCTATTGTTGTAATAATTATTAGTATATTTGTAACTATTATTTTTACTTTGATATTGAGTAACGTTATTATAATCACTGTCATTATTATTGCGAAAGTTGTTATTACTGCTACCGAGATTGTAATTGTTATTGTAATTATGATAATTATTGTTGATATTGTGGTGATGATAAATATTGCTATTGTTACCACTACGGTTTTGATGGTAATTATTGGAGTTATTACTACGGTTATGATTATAATTATTAGTAGTGTTATTGTTGATACTACGATTGTGATGGTTGTTA